ATTCTATTCTATTCTATTCTATTCTATTCTATTCTATTCTATTCTATTCTAGTCTAGTCTAGTCTAGTCTAGTCTAGTCTAATAAATTTGTATCATTTTTCTTAGGGCTAGTCAGCACAAGTGTCTTAAGTCCATGAACTTAAAAAGTTTGAAAGACAAAATACAGATTTAACTCATGTCCTGCAAAAGAGCATATACTTTCTATCCCCCAATATGTTAAGTCTCATTGCATTACCTAGATATCTGAATAGCCTTCTGTAACCCGGAGTCCTCCAGACTAGTTGGACTACAATTTTCCTCCTCCTCCTCCTCCTTCTCTAGATGCCTAAGTAGAAAGGGAGTTATATAATGCAGGGGTCTCCAACCTTGGCAACTTTAAGACTTGTGGGCTTCAACTCCTCAGCTCAAGCTCAAGGATCCATAATGTAACATGATGTCTCCAGAGAATCCAACTATCACCTGGTGACTTCCAGATGTGTCCTATTATTATTCAGTCTCAGTCAATCAGATGCCTAAGGATGAAGGGAGTTACCTAATGCAAGGGTCTCCAACCTTGGCAACTTTAAGACTTGTGGAGTTTGGGAGTTGCAGTCCACAAGTCTTCAAGTTGCCAAGGTTGGAGAGTCCTGGGCTAGCCTATATCAACGAAATGCTTGGGAAGACTCCACACGCCCAATTCAGATTTGCTAAAGCATGCTCAAGGTTGCTCGGTGCTGTCACCTGCCTCTTGAGGCCAAGAGCCCCACTCCCTCAGCCATTATTTTCACCCAGACAGCTTTATGTTATTGTTGTTGTTGGAAAATGCCATTTCCACTCCCTCTCCGCCCGCTTAAGGAATTGCCTTCTGTAACCCCCTGGGCGCTTGCGCCGATGCATTGGCTCGCCGTACAACCTGTTCATTCGCCTTGGCGCCTGAAGAGGGAGCTAATTGCACAGTTCCAACCGGGAGGGCCAACCCCTTTGCGCGAGACTCTCTCTCTCTCTCTCTCTCTCTCGAACGATGTCCGGTGATGACGTCCCTAGAAGTCGCCGGGCTGGAGACACTTGGACAGTCAGCAGAAGGAGGGAAGGCTGACGTCAGCAAAAGGAGCCCAGAGAGAGAGAGAGAGAGAGGGGAAAGAAAGGCGAGCGGTGAGGGGGCACGGGGGGGGGGGGGGGCTGCGTGCGTTGCGACTCCATCGGTACAAATCAATTTATTAACCTTGAAACCAACGTGGAGAGAAAATTTGTCGGGATGTGTAAGCATAGATAGAACTGCCGGGTCCCCCCCCCCCCCCCCGAAACTTGCTGGCATTTGGGAAAGGGTTAATGCGGGTCCCAGACACGCTCTTGAAGCTAACCAGACGGCCGTCGTGCCTCTGACCATGTACAGAACGTTCCTTTCCGGGGCCAGGGCGAGGATTCCCTGAGCTTTTAGTTGATCCCTCCTCCCCTCCTGGTTGAGACCAAGTCGAGTATCGCGTCTTGTTTTCTAGGATTGAGGCCTTGGCATGAGGAATAATTGTGACATCATCGCTGCTTGCTAATCATTTCTCTTGCTGCTTAGTGCCTTTATATATATATCTCTATCGTCTCTCTTCTATTCCTATTCCATTCCATTCCATTCCCATTTTTTCTATTCCATTTTATTCTATTCCCATTCCCATTTTTTCTATTCTATTCTATTCTATTCTATTCTATTCTATTCTATTCCCATTCCCATTCCCATTCCCATTCCCATTCCCATTCCCTCCTATTCTAGTCCCATTCCCATTCTATTCTATTCCCATTCCCATCTATTCCCATTCCATTCCCATTCCATTCCCATTCTATTCTATTCCCATTCCAATTCCATTCTATTTCCATTCCCATTCTATTCCCATTTCCATTCTATCCCATTTCCATTTGATTCAATTCTATTCCCATTCTATTCCCATTCCCATTCTATTCCCATTTCCCTTCTATTCCCATTCCTATTCCCATTCTATTCCAATTTCCATCCCCATTCTATTCTATTCCCATTCCCATTCTATTCTTTTACCATTCTATTCCCATTCTACTCCATTCTATTCCATTCTTGTTCCTGTTCCTATTCCCTTCCTTTCAATTCCATTCTATTCTACTGTACTCTATCATTATCAATCATCTATCTATCATCTATCTCTATCATCTATCCATCTATCATCTGCTGTGTTTCTCATATAATAAGGCCGGGTCTTTTTTTTTTGAGCCCTGAAAAATCGGCTAGGACGTCTTTTCAGGGGTGAATTAATTTTTTCCCTCCCTGCGCACCCTCGCCTAGGGCACCCCACGGGCAGCTACACCTTGCCACCAGCCACTCCTAACGGCCAATCATGGCGGAGCGTGAAGGGCTCCTTACCCCCGCCAAGCACCTTTGCTGCAGATCCGGGTCAGCGGGCGTGCGTCGTTGGCGTGGATGTCCGCCGGCAGCATTTCAGCCGCTTCTCGGGCCTCCGTAGCTTCCACGTAGCTTCCACGGTTCCCACCGGTGCTGGCGCCTCTCTCGCCAGCGCCGTCTCCAACAACAGAGTCTGAGTCACTCCCGCTTTTTCCCCGTTCTCGCAACAACAGGAAAAAAACGTACCTGGGAGCGCCGCGCGCTGCGTTATGGTTTAATCCCAAGTGGCTGGGTGGCGTGTGAAGAGCTGAGTGAGCATCTCTGCTGTTGCTACCCTTGGTGCTCCAGCCTCGGGCTCTGCAAGTTTCCAAAAGTCCCTGTGCGCAGCCCGTTCCTGCATTCCAAGCGTGCCCAGGCTGAGCTGCAGCTGTCCCTCTCTCGCCAGCGCCATCTCCAACAACAGCGGCAGCGGGAACCGTGGAAGCATTTCAGCCACTTCTCGGGTGGGGGAGCCACCTCCGTAACTTCCATGGTTCCCGCCGCTGCTGCCGCTGTTGTTGGAGATGGCGCTGGTGAGAGAGGCGCCAGCACCAGTGGGAACTGTGGAAGCTACGGAGGCCTGAGAAGTGGCTGAAACATTGCCGGCGGACATCCACAACGACGATGCCCACCCGCTGACCCGGGTCTGTAGCAAAGGCGCATGATGGGGGTAGGGAGCCCTCTGCGCTCCACCATGATTGTCTGTTAGGAACGGCCAGGGGCGAGGCATAGCTGCCTGCGGGGCGCTCCTAATGGCAAGTTCCCCCCCTTCCTCCCCCAATTTCTCATGTTTTAAAATAGGCCTAAATTTGGAGGGGCTTAATTTCATTTTATGCTTAGAAAACATGCTGGGTCTTCCTATTGGGGGGGCGTATTGTTGGAGAAACATGGTATCTATCATCTATCCATCTATCATCTATCATTTATCATCTCTATCTATCTATCTATCTATCTATCTATCTATCTATCTATCTATCATCCATCCATTCATCCATCCATCTATCCATCATCTATCAATCATCTATCCGTCTATCTATCTAAAAATGAAATACCACTCACTCACGCATCATCACAAAATCTGTAAAGCCTACAAACTTGAAATTTGGCATGTATGTTCCTCTTGGCTTCAAGGTGCTCACTATGAAAGGATTTTTTGAGATGACCGTCAGACATCGCTCTGTTGCTAAGGAGTTCTACTCCCCCTCCCCACTGAAAAGAAATCTGTTCCAGATGCAAAACGCAAGCAGACGAGAGGAGTTTCCGTTTCCATTTCACAGCAGCAAGCAGCTTTAGTACAGAACAGTTGAGCTAAGCCACGCCCAAGCTCCTTGCTGTCTCCTTGCTCACACAGCAAATACTGTTTCAGTTTCCATGTTTCAGTTTCCAGACAGCCCTCAACTGTCTCACACACTGACAGGGCCAGATGAATACCGATGGATGCTGGTAGGCAGAGGCACAATTCCACCCGCCTTATTTTCTTCCCCAATAACTAAGCCCAATCACATAGTTTCGTAGCGAACCACGGGTATAGAACTAATTGTTGGTATGTGCACTTTGAGTATTCATTTGTGTGGGTTCCGAATGTATCTTGCAGCATAAATAGTTGGTTAGAAGTGAGGCTTCAGGTTGCTAGAAGTGAGGCTTAATAGAAACTGGAAGTGAGGCCTAAGGTTACCTTATGGATTCATGCTGAAATGGGAACTCCCAGGTTTGTTGGGTTAATGCTTCGTATTGTCTGTGCTTGTAAAAATAAAAATATTTCTCAAAAGAACATGATATATAGTCCCTTCTCAAGGTAGAAATAGGCACAAGCTGGTCTCACTGCACTGAGCTAACCTATGTGGGGGATGGGGGGGAGCTTGCACCTCACGCTTTTTATTCATATATTCCAGATTTGCATTTAACACCAAACTAGTAAGATGATGGGAAATTCTCTGTAGATAAGGCTGTGGGAATCTTGGGAATCCTGTTTTTTTTCCCCTAGGAATAAGAGAAAGACAAGATCTAAATCTAAGGACATTTTAAGCCAGACCCATTTGTTGACTAAGAAGTTACATTACGCAATTGTGTATTTTTACCTCAGCTGCTATTTATGTTGTTTAAAATTTGTTACGTTGTTTTCATTGTTTTGCAGTATTGTCGTGTATTTGAAATGGGTGACCAAAATGCCTGAATAATATATTTGTTACCTGTTTTTTGCTCTGTTGTATGTCATCCCAAGTTGCTTATTTGTGAGACGGGCAGCTGCATAAATCGGTTTAATAAATAAAATAAAACAGACATTAAATAAGTGAGATCCATCCCCATACTCCTGGCCTTTTGGAAAAGTCGGAAAACTTGGTTCTGTCATTTGAACCGGAGCTCTGACTTGGGCCCTGCTACATTGAGGGTGGCTGGTTGGGTAGGCAAGATACCTACCTCTTAGGCCTCCCATCACCTTAGTTTTTTACCTTTTCAACAATTTCAATTGTTCTGTAATACTTTTTTAGCATATTACAAGTCTCCCAGAATTGCTGTATCAGTGAGGGTGGCATAAAAAAAAATCCGTAGAATATTATAATTAATTTTATTTTAAAACAATGGAACATATCACATTTTTTTTTAAAAAAATGTAAATCGTGGATACAAAATATCATTCAACAGATACTTTCCCTGAACCAGGAAGGAAATATCTTTTCTACAAATGGTGCCCGTTATGAACATTTAAAAAAACCGACGGCATTTTGCTTACAAGGAAAAATATATTTTTTAAAGTTTTAGAATTAATACTTCTGCAGATTTACTTGACTTTAAAATCTTGTGATCACTGAACTGGAAAGTGTTTCTAATTGAGAGAACAGGATATGGCACTTCTGTTCTCTGGTTCAGATGAGGGTCTGGAACATTCATACTGTAACAAGTAACCCCAGTGCACAAAACATAGCTGCCATAGAATGTGACAAAAAGAATATATTCTTGAATATCTTTTAGTCATCATTCTTACTTTTTAGGTGAATTCTTTCAAATGTTTCTGTATGCAGTGCAAAAGTATTTCAATTAATTGTGCCCTTGAATTGTACAACAGTGTAAGAAAATTGCTCATGCACCGTAGATCTATACATGTGAAGAATACAGCAGTGGAATGTTAGAATTCTCATGTATTAGCTATTGCGATTGTGTAAGAAATGCTTTGCTGCTAGATTTATATATCATGTTGGTATATTCAACTTATTTGGGTCTGTTTTAATCATATTAAAAAAAAGATCTTCCCACTGGAAATTACAGGTGTGACAAAGCAAACACAAGACTGCTATAAGGATGGTGCGAATTTTGGCCAATGGAGATATTGTGCAAGATGATGACCCCCGAGTGCGTCAGACCACTCAGGTAAGGGAGAACTCACCTCGACTTGTGAGGAATGGTGTATGTATTGTGGTTTGTGCTTAGAATGATTCAGTAAAAACTTTTCTCCTAGCACTTTGGAAATTGGAAAAAGGTGTTAGGGAATATGGGAGAATACAAAGATAGCTGTAGCTTTTTAAAGTATCTGTACCTTTCCCCAGGATCACATAGGCATCCTCTAGAGTCCCCAAGTGATTCCAGGAAAAGATAGGATTTCTTTTAAGAGTTATAGACAGGAGCTCTATTTTGTGCTTTTGAGCATACTTGTTCTGACCCAAGCCTCGTTCCAATCAAATAAAAACAGTATATAGAAAAGTAAACCTTTTTAATGCGCTTCTGGGAATTCTGTTCATTCACAGCAAAGAGTCATTAAAACTAACTATCCCAGATAAGAGCAAGTCCTCTCAAGGATGTGAAAGGCTGCCAAGAACACCAGGTTAATTGCAGGGAAATATCCAACGCCAAAAGTCTCCGAAAACAAACCAGAATAGACAGAAATTCCACAAGAACTCTTTGGAGTCCAAAGAACTTCTTTGCTTCCTGCAAAGAAGCCAACCCCAAAGGCTGGCTTTTATCCCTTATGGGAGGAGCCATCCCCTTGCAGCCTTACTCCCAAGTTGCCTGTGCTTCTGCAGCTGCTCTTTCCTTCAAGCAGCCCTACGCACAATAAATTATTTTCATTGCATTAATCATTGGTTTCTGTTCATCATTGCTTTCTCTTGGTGGAATCTACATGCTTTCCAAATCTGTTCAAAACTTCCAGGAGAAATGTGCAGAAATCTTTGTATCAGCAAAAGTCCATCTTGAGTTCCCCTGGGATTTGGTTTATGTTTTCCACTGTATTTTAATGCCTTGAGTCAGGGATGGGCTGCTGGGGCCTTTCAGCGGCTCGGGTGATCCCCTAGCTAAGACTCCCACTCCTGGCTGGCTCCGCCACGCCACGCCACGCCCCACCCAACCCCACTTCGCCCCACCCTACCTTATAGATCTACCTACTCTCCTCGCCTCTTCTTCAACCACTCACGTCTGGCTCCCTCACTCATTTGGCAGCTTTTGTCCGCCCGATACCGCGCGCCCCAGCTCTGGCTTCCTCACTCCTTAGATGAGTTGCCATGGCCTGTGGGTTGGGGGTGTGAGGCTGCGACGGTCTCCTTTCAGCTTTTACGGGCCAGGCCCAGCTCAGGGGTTCTGCGCGCACCTGCCGCGGGAGGCTCGAGGCTTGGGGTACAGAGTTTCTGACGACTGCCTTTCGGGCTTGCTGCATTTGGCCGGAGGCTCGCGGTAGGGACTGTGGGGTGGGGAAAGAACGCGACAAGAAAAGGTGCCATTTCCTGCGGTGGAGAGAAGTTCCGTGATCGCTCAGGGAGACACATGACATGACTGAGACACTGGCCCGGCCTGGCCACTTGTCTCCACCACTTCTGTTGCCGCCTCTATTGGCTTCACGAGACCCTGCGAGAGCTCTCACAACGTCTTATGCAGCCCAATACAAGCTCTGCACAGTGACCGCTACTCGCGGCCACCGGCAACAGCGGCGGTGGCGGCTGAGTCGGGCTTAGGGTGGAGCCGTGGAACGGGTTGTGAACAGCAGATGGGCGGCACCGGGGGATCTGGTCCTTGCCACTGTTCCGTTGCTGCCTTCGTTGCTGAGCTGCCGCCTCTCCCTCTGCACCCCCCCCCCCCCCGGGGGCCCCCCCCCCCCCCCCCCCCCAGCCCTTTAAAACTAAAAGCCCATCATGGTAGCTTTGCAAGAACAAAATGCCGGCTCAGTCTTGGTGGCCCATCAAAGGTCGGGAGAACCTCCGCTCTGCCTCTAACACGGAGTTTCCCCTGCACCTTTAATCAGCCATCATCAAGGACTGAGCCAGCCTTTTGTTCTTGCAAAGCTACCAATAATGGGCTTTTAGTTTTAAATCCTTTCCCCGAAGTAGTGGCAGGGAGCAACTTTACCAGTTTTTGTCAGATTTAACAGATTAACAGCGTTGGAAGGGACAATTATGAAAAAATAAAAAAGCGCGCACAAAGCCAGAGTGATAAAAATATCTAAACAAGATACTGTCAACCAAGTAATTAATTCTTAAGGAGCAGTCAGACTCACTTTCATCTCCGAAATTTTTTAGAAAAACAGGGTCATCCTTGGATGACAACAGAGAAAGGCTTTCCTGATCTTGGCAACGGAAGGTCTAGGAATTATGGATGCTGAAGTCCAGAAAGCCTCCTTACATTTTTCTTAGCTTATATATATATAAATTGGTTTTGGAAAAGGGGCAGTTCTCAGCATAATGCCAGTTTAACAACCGACGACCTCATTTAGCAACCGTTCAGTTACAACGACGATGGAAAAAAAAAAAGAGCTTTGCGACCGATCCTCGTATTTGTGACCTTTGCAGGTCTGCAAAGCAGAAGAAAGCTAAAATAAAAGTTAGTAAGCCCAGTTGCGATATTGCTTGGCAACATCTTCGCTTAGCGGCTAAGCTGCTGGTCCCAATTGTGGTTGCTAAACAAGGACTACCTGTAGTCCTCTTGGAGCTTGGATACTCCTTAGCTCGGCCCACCAGGTATCTTTCTCTGTGAAGTCACCTCTCATTTTCCTAAAGTGCTGTATTTCTGACTCCTCCCTTTTTACAGTTCCCTTTCTGTGGCTCGAAAGACGGCTTCTTTGTGCTCATTCACTTTCTCCTGCTTGGTCTCCACAGGGCTTTTTCAACGCAACCTCAAACACTGGTCCTAACCCACCACAGCAACAGCAGCAGCAGCAGCAGCAGCGCCAGAATGCAAGGCCCAGGGAGCGTTCGCCCTTTTCAGACATCAACCAGCAGCTGGTGAACATGGGTTTCCCCACTTGGCACCTTGGCAACCAGGTGGTGGAGCCCGTGATGTCCATTTTGCTCCTCTTCCTGCTTATGATGGTGGGCGTGCGTGGCTTGCTCTTGGTGGGCCTCATTTACGTCATCTCCCACCTAAGCCAGCGATGACACGAACTCCCGCACAGACTACCAGTTGCCCGAGGGACTCCGAGCCAAATAGTTTTGCCCAGCGTACGGCCCCGTGGGTTAGAGAAGAGAGTATGGATGTCCACATCTGGGCGTGTTTGAAACAAATTCTCCTCGCTCAAGAACTTTTGTAAACGGTTGTTTCCAAGAGACAGAAGGAAGCAACTTTGGGAGTATGAGCTCATGAAGATAATATAGCCTCTTCTTTTCTTTCTCTAGCTTGAAATGAGCCGTTTTTTTTTTTCCAATTCGGGGCCCATGATATTCCGGTAGGAATGATAGCTTTTGTTTTTGCTGAGGGTACCACCTCACGGTTATCGAGGGAACTTTATTTAGGATTTTCTGACAGGGAAAGCTCAACCTCTGATAGAGAAACATTTAAAAGGCAGGTTTAAAAAAACAAAAAACAAAAAAAACAACAACCAGTTAGGAAATCATGCCTTCCATATAGGTGGGAGAACAGAGCAGTCACATCGAGATCACTGCATTTTTATAAACGGAGCCTCTTGGTGTGGAATATTCAAAGGTGACTCCTCAGGTATTTATCTGGAGGCTGCCTGGTGCCTCAGTCAGGCCATCATCCTTTTGTAATATTAAATAAAGAATGCAAACGCAGTGTTTCTATGTGTTGGGGTGGGGGTTGTTACCAAATGAGACTGCAGTTTATGTATGTAAAAACGATACATTGCTTCAAATAAGCAGAATTAGTGGGACAGAGCAAACATCCATGTGTAACTTGATGAAACAGTGCCCCCAAATGCTTTTTCTGCTAGTATTGGCTGCGTCCTCAAATAGTGCAGAGGAACTGAGTCGAAGCAAAGAAAATGCTTTGCTTTATGTTCCATAAAGTTATTTGTAAAACCACCATCAAGAATCTTGATTCTAATTACTGGTATATACTATTTTTTTCCTCTCTTTATATTTCCCTTCTTAGCAGAGTATAGTTGCATTTCTTTCTTTCTTTTTTTTTTCATTTTGGCCTTATTCGCACGAAAAAGAAATAAAAAAAATATCTACCTGCTTCAGCTCAATTTTTATTTTGAAAATTTAGGGTGACTTGCAATAATATATTTAAAGCTAAAAATTAAAAATAAATCTATAGCTCTTAATTTAGTTAATAAAACATCATATAGAACGGCAAAAATCTCTTTCCGTTTGAAAAAGATTCTAGTTTTAAAAAGGGGGAAATTGTTGAAATAATAAATATTTGAGGAGCTGCAAGAGAAAAACAAGGTGTGTGTGTGTGTGTGGCTTTTTTGGGGGAAAAATCAAGCTGTAACTTAACATAGTGAATTTCAGTTCCATAGAGCCTTTTTCCTAATTTCCACTAATTAAAATGTAAGAGTGAAACAATGGGTTTAGCTGCTTGTCACATACGTAATTCATAAGTTTGTACTATGAGAAGGAATTCCTAAATGTAAGGGGGATTTAATGGAACAGTGAGTTGATCAAAGGATGCTCCCCAAATGAATTTCATATTTCAAATGGCAAATTCAAATAATCTCGAGTGTAGGTCTCTGCGTACAATAAATATATCTGCCATTGTAGTTTTCTAGATCTAAAATGCAATCAGTTTATGGAATGCAATAGGGCTATTGTGAGTGAGCTATATAAAAAAAACTTTTTAATAAAAAACATCACTCATTTTGGGAGGAGAATACAGGTAGCCCACAACTTATGACCACAAATGAGCCCAAAATTAATGTTGCTAAGTGTTACATTTATATAATGTTGCTAAGTTACATCGCCCCATTTTTATGACTTTTCTTGCCACATTTGTTAAGTGAATCACTGTAGTTGTTAAGTTAGTAACATGGTTGTTAAGTGAATCTGGCTTCCCCATGGACTTTGCTTGTTGGAAGGTTGCAAAAGGTGATCACATGACTCCAGGGGCACTGCAGTGGCGACTGGGTGACCGGGTCGGGGGTGTGGCCAGCCAGAACTTACTACCATTTTGGCGACCCACGCCAAATCCTTGCTATTGGTTCGCCTGATCCGGTGTTAACCAGCTGAATACCACAACTGCTGTATACCCACAAAACAGTCTGTACAGGTAGTCGCTCACAGCAGCTTGTTTAGTGACTGTTCAAAGTTATAAACGGCACTCAAAAAAGCAACTTATGACCATTTTTCGCATTTACAACCATGGCAGCATCTCCATGGTCACATGATCAAAATTTGCACGCTTGTCAAACTGACTCATATTGATGACAGTTGTAGTGTCCTGGGGCCATGTAATCCTCTTTTTGTGACCTGACAAGAAAAGTCAATGCAAAAATCAGATTCATTTAACAATTGTGTTACTGACTTAACCACTGCAGTGATTTACTTAACAATCGAGAAAGGTTGGGGCAAAATTCACTTAACAAACATCTTAGCAACAGAAACATTGGGTTTAATTGTGTCATAAGTCAAAAACTATGGGAAGCTGTAGATGGAATAACACAACTCAGTACCTTTCTAGGGAGGATTGTGTGGCACAGACAATGCTAGGTTGCATTTTCTCCTGTCTATTTCTGCAACAACACAACAAAAAAGGATAAACTTTTCAATGGTACAATTTCGTTTCTTTTATTATCCTTTTTATTTAGAATTTATTATTCTCACCCTGCTAATAATTTCTGGTCATGTATGCCTTCTTCCGAATTCTCAGAAATCATCCATCAAGGCACTGCTTTGAGCGGACTCGTACATTCTGGAGCAGGAAGTCTCCAACCTTGGCAACTTTAGGACTTGTGGACTTCAACTCCCAGAATTCCTCAGCCAGCCAGGAATTCTGGGTGTTGAAGTCCACAGGTCTTAAAGTTCCCACGGCTGGGGATCCCTGTCATCTGGAGCATCCTGCAATTGACTCTATCTTCTTGATCTTTCAATCCTTTGAATTAAATGACAATATGGGTATGTTTCTTCCCTCTTTGTAGTAAAATGATAATGATGATGATAATAATAATAGTAGTAGTAATTATAATAATAATATAAAAAATACAGAAAATATGTTTGCAATATTGCTCTTGAAATACAGTTCCAATCCCTGCCTTTGGAACAATCGCTTAAGGGATATATCGGTTAATCGGCTTTGCTGGCTGAGGAATTCTGGGAGTTGAAGTCCACAAGTCTTCAAGTGGCCAAGGTTGGAAACCCCTGATCTAGAATTTGTTTTTTTTTTTTAATCTCCACTTTAGCCATTTCTGTTTTTCCCATTTCCACCACTAGATGTCATTGACCTATTGCTTTATTACTAACACGTGAAATTCGATGTGCAGTGAAATTAAACATGTGGAACAAAAAGCCACTGAGAAAGATGCTGAGATTTAATGAGTGACACCTAGGAGAATAAGTCAAGGGAAGATGCTGGTATTCCTGTATTTCCATATTGAGTTAGCCTGAACATGTTCTCAAGAACCTACAGCAGAAATAGCTGCAACCAACATATTCGATCTTAAACAGAAGGTACCTGCTGTCATAGGGGCCATTTCCATAGGGGGAAAGTGATGCTACATACATGAAAAACCCATTTCATCATCTGTGGGATATTATCATGTGCATATTGCTGTTATGTGTTCAACAGAACACCAGCTATATCTATCTCTAAAAAGAGATCCAACGGCAATGGTGAATAGAGTGAGGTCAAATTTCTTTTAGGTAGGGCTCATACCTATAGTATCTTCTAATCTAATGTATCTCTAAAAAAAACCCACAAGTAACTGTCTGATTTGGTTCTGCAACTCAACAAGACAAAGACTTAAGAGGATAACTAGGACTGCAGAAAAAGCAATTACTACCAACCTGCCTTCCATGGAGGACCTGTATCCTGCACGAGTCAAAAAGAGGGCTGTGAAAATATTTACAGACCCCTCACATCTCGGACATAAACTATTTCAACTCCTTCCCTCAAAACGACGCTATAGAGCACTGCACACCAGAACAACTAGACACAAGGACAATTTTCCCCCAAACACCATTACTCTGCTAAACAAATAATTCCCTCAACACTGTTCAACTATTTACAAAGTGTACACTACTATCACTATTAATCTACTCATCACTCCTATCACCCATCCCCTCCCACTTGTGACTGTATGACTGTAACTTTGTTGCTTGTATCCTTATGATCTATATTGACTGTTTCCTAGTATGATTTGATTGCTTATTTGTACCCCATGGCTATCATTAAGTGTTGTACCTTATGAGTCTTGACTCTTGACAAATGTATCTTTTCTTTTATGTACACCGAGAACATTTGCACCAAGACAAATTCCTTGTGTGTTCAATCACACTTGGCCAATAAAGGATTAATTAATTAATTAAGTCATCCATCCGTTCAAAAAGGATACAGGTAATCCTTGACTTACAACTGCTCATTTAGTGGCCATTCGAATTTCCAGATCACTGAAAAAAAATAAAAGACTTCTGACCATTTTTTATACTTACGACCGTTGCAGCGTCCCCATGGGTCACGTGATCAAAACTGTGATGCTTGGCAACCGACTCATATTTATGATGATTGCCTTTTGCGACTTTCTGACAAGCAAAGTCAGTGGGGGGAAACCAGATTCACTTAACGACTGTGTTACTAACATAACAACTGCAGTGGTTCATTCAACAACTGTGGCAAGAAAGATTGTAAAATAGGGCGAAGGTCACTTAACAATCAATCAAACGTTTATGGTCAATGCACAACGTGTGTACAATGAAATTAAAAATGTCTCACTTAGCAATGTAAATTTTGGGCTCTCTTGTCGTAAGTCGAGGACGACCCGTCCAAGCTTCTAATCTTTTGAAATTTCTTTTGAACATCTATTTCCATGTATTTGTACTGTATGTCAATGACTTTGCCAGGGTGATGAAGCCCGTCTTTACAAGCTGCAGTCATAGCCCGGAGCTGTGACTATGAAATACTGGCTTTAAATTTATGTCATCTTTTCTCTCTGTTTTGATCTTGAGAGCAGGAAATTCCTGTGATGTTGTGATCCCTGTACAGTGCCCACCGATGTCTCTGGAGGTCTGCTGGGCTCCTTGCTCCATCAGATTTTTAACACTTTTAAATTTATTATCACTCCTTTTTTTGCGGGAGGTATGTGTGTGTGTGTGTGTGTGTGTGTGTGTGTGTGTGTGTGTGCAAGGAGTAAGCCGCATATGCTGCAGAATAAATCTCTTAACATCGTTTTTTGTTTCCAAGAATATCTCAGGGGCCCGGAGCTCTTTTAGAAAATATAAAGGAGGGGTGGTTGGAAGCCAATGTTTTTAGAAACATCCTTATCCAGAAGGAGAATGAAGATCCCATGAGAGAGCCAAAAAAAGGAGTGAAAGGAGTGAAAGGACTGTACAGGGTAGCATTCTGAGGCTTTATAACTGATTATACCTCTCACCGCCGCCATTTTGTGATGGGAGA